TGTGCATTGTAAATACCTTTTAGACATACTCTCAGGTGGATGCTTCAATTTGACACATGTTTTTATGTATACTAATTTCACTTTTAATTTGATGATGATGATAAGGAGAATAAGGAAGATGGTAATGGTTCTTACATTTGGCACACCTGTAATAATAACACATGTATTGTTGGCATTTTGCCACTGGTGAGGTTCCTCCTGTGAGAAACAGTTCTAACATCTCATGACATTCTCATTTGAACGCTAGGCTCACTACACGAAGCAACTTGCCCTCAACTTTAGTTGCTTACAACAAGTGAGTTGCAAAAGAGATTTGATAAACACCATTACACAGCAAGTTAAATGTTTCTGCAAGGCACAAAACACTAGGAAAATCATGAGTTGCAAAAGGTTTTCATAGTATAAAAAGAAAGAAAGAAAGTTGCATGTGCACTGTATGTTTATGAAGCTGGGTGTTGTCGCTAGGTGACCCTCCCTATATGCCCATGTCTTTTTGATCAGCAAATTATGTCATAATTTGGTCTGCAAATGATTTCAAACATGTTTATGCACACACACACACACACACACACACACACACACACACAAACCACCGATAAAAAGGGAGGGAGAGTCTGGTTAAGGGAAAAAGAAGGGAGAGGGGTGAGGGTTAGGACAGAGAAGCAAGACAGAGAAAATGAAAGGAATGAAATGGGAGAGATAAAGAGAACTCTGCCATTTCATCATCTTCCCCTCATCGCTGCAGTTCCAAACAACCACATTTAAAACTTTATTTAAATCTTTCACTTATAGTACAGTAATCTGTCATTACAAGGATATTCCACTAGAGGGCATAAAAACATGACTTTTATTGAAGAAATGGACCATCCAAAAGTTTTAATGTCACACAATAAAACTGCTGCACCCCTCCATTAGGACCACTTTACCCCTCCATTAGGACCACTTTACATCGTGGTTGTAGAGACAGATTGCTATTTGCTATTTAACCATACCGTGTTGATATGTGGTGCAGCCAGATATACACCACTGCTTTTCTCAAATGTATCTAAATGTACAGGAAAACATAAAAAAATGTGGCATAAGAATCTATTTTAAATTATTTTCATGAGAGCTTTCCATGAGCTAACCCGCTAATATAGAAAATGTGCTTTAGGCTACCGTTATAGACAGTGGAAAGATTTTTTGACAGGGGTGCAGGATTTGTTTTTGCCTGATTTAGATATTTATGCTTTTAATTTCCGACATTTTGGTAGAATATTTGTCAGTCAACTTGTCTATAATTAGATACATGCAGCTTCTCTTCTGTCATTATATGTTGCCCTAGAACCCTTGCTCACCAGATTAATGTCACAAATAGATAGAATGAATGCTTCAAACTAGTACAATTCTCTGTGATCTCTGCTTCTTTCATGAAGTAAAGACATTTAGGGACCGGGGAGAAAATGCAATAGCAAAATTTCCAAATCACATCAGTTTGTCCGGTTGTAAGGAAATAGAAAGCTGTGAAAACGACCCAACATGTTTCTGATAAGATTTCAGTTTGGCTTGGATGCATATCTGGTTGAATTGAAATACTATCTGCTTTTATGATGCTGATCAAGATAGCACCCCTACTGACAGTATCTGACTGTGCTTTCGCATTCTCTCAAGATGCTGAAATAAATAAGTCTTATTTCTCCACTAGAGTAAAAATGTTGCCTACATTTGGTGTATAATTTTACTGCAAGAAAGTATTAATATTAAGGCTATGTGAGAGGTTATAGACCAACAGTCAGTGTCTAGATTTCAGTTTCCAATGAATGGATCTGAACAGTAGGCTACAGTTCCCTTGATATGCCATAGGCCTATTTAAAGTCCCCATCTTGTGACTGTTGAATTTGTATGGCGCCTCACTATCATCAAGCATAACATAGTCACTGCTATCATCCTCTTTTACCACTTCACCAAATATTTCACAAACATAACTTTTCTGGCCCTCCCTTCTCTTTATTTTCAACTCTCCATTTCGCAGCTTTTCTTTTATTGAATTAAACTATGATAATGTCCTTTTTGCCTCTGTGGATGACATTAACTTTTTCTTGGCTTGTAGGTAGGCCTATTTGGCGTGCAAACAGTTAGGCCTTAAAGCTTATGCTTATGCAATAATGCCAGATAACCTAAAAGAATGAAAGATAATCCTCAATGTAGCCCAGAGGAGGCTGGTGGGAGGAGCTATAGGAGGACATGCTCATTGTAATGGCTGGAATGGAATCATTGGAATGCTACCAAACACATGGTTTGAATCCATTCCATTCAGTCCATTCTGGCCATTGCAATGAGCTTGTCCTCCTATGGCTCCTCCCACCAGCCTCCTCTGATGTAGCCTATAGATATAAATTGCACAAGAATGATACATTTATGGATTGTTTAAGGTATTGTTTTCTCTTTATTCAACCCGCCTATAACCCACCCGCCCTTCATCCACACAATATTTCATGATCCTAAACCCGCCCCACCCTGCGGGAACTGCGTGTTATGAGTCAACCCGCACATCATTCGTTTCCATACATTTCCACAAATTATATCTGAAGCAAAATAAATGATTTGATTCACTGTGTGCTGAGGATATCTGAATAAGCAAATTAGTATTATATCTTATTGATGATAAGAGCATAACTGTGTACTGTGGGTGACTTATTGGAGCAGCAGGTTGTAGCTGCTTCATATAAAAAAAACACCCAAATGCCATTAGCCATTCCATAGTGCACTACCTTTAACCAGGGCCCATAGGGCTCTGGTCAAAAGTAATGCACAATTTAGGGAATAGGGTGCCAATTGGGAGGTACCTATAGGTTTGGCCTCACACATCATCATGACCAGTCCCAGATTTATACAAATCACACAGGAAAAAGACACTACATGCAGTATCAGGGATGGTCACCATCATAAATACTGGCTACAACTGCCGGGCTAATTATTTACAACTGTAATGATAGTGCTTGCTCAAACAAGTTGTCTATTATTGTCATTACAATCGATTATCGTTTATCATGTCTATTTGTCTTTACCTCACTCTCAATTGTCACTATTAACCTATCTCGTTTATTCTGTGTATAAGTCGGATATTAATAAAACTTAGGGCTATTAATCGTTTATCAAATTAAAATTGGCCCTACTTGTAAATGAGTTAGTCATGTTAATACTTTTAATTACACCACGTAAAATATTCGTTGACTGTGTTTGCAAGGTTTACCAAGGTAACCTACTATCAAAGACCTACTACTATCTTGCTCAATATATCCACGGTATCATTACTTCACTCAAGGCAGCGCATAGGCTATAGGGCGGCGCTTGTCTATAAATTCTCAGACGCAATATTTTTCTACTCTGCACAATTCAACCTCTTCTCAATCGCCAACTCCACATTCGTGAACGGTAAGAATTCAGCCTCTAATATGTATACTCCTGTTCTTGTCTGACTGGTAGTCAATTTATTTGTCTACGAATGTAAAAAGTCGCTTCAGGCTAAATAGTTATGTTAATCCTATCTGATCTCTTCCTCCAACTCAGGAACTAGTCTTGTGCGATTGGCTATGAAGTGCAGTTTTCTATGGGGTAGTTGTCATACTTTTCATATGTAAATATAAAAGTCTACTAACAGTCACTTTTTACAGTCCAGACTTACAGTATCTTTTTTGGCGTTCTGCGTTGATTAAGGATTTTAAAACTTCGTTTCATAACTAAAATAATCACATTTGTCAAAAGGGCAAAAGAGCATGGTCAACACATAGATATATAACCTATAATGTTTACTAAACAATTATAGCATTATAATTGTGTGCATTATAATTTTTTTGTCTAAAAGATCATCTGAGTTTTTTATATTATTTGACATGAAAGAAATTGACTGAAATAAGGGTGTGGCTCACTTTGAATGAATGGGTTAAGAGCTGACTGTGGAAGTACACACACTTATTTCCTCCGTGTTGGTGCAACCTCTCTTTCTCGAGTCTGGTTTGTCTTTCCTTCTACCCTACTTTCCTCGGTTTTGGACATTTTTTCCACGTTCAGTCATTTTCTCTCTTCTCTCATACCACACCCTTTTTCACTACCTCTCTTTTACGTTTTTCACTATACTCTCTGTATCTGACTGGTGTGTATGTGAATGTATTTTGTGGTCTGTATTTGAGAGAAAATAACTTAGTAGTGAATCTATGATCAACTTTTGTTGGTGGTTTTCTGGATTACTCATGTGAGCATTACTCATCGGAATAGGCAGGGCATATGGCACATGGTACTGATTTTCTTCAACATGGCCATTCCCACACACAAATACACACACACACACACACACACACACACACACACACACACACACACACACACACACACACACACTCACTCACTCACTCACTCACTCACTCACTCACTCACTCACTCACTCACACTCACACTCACACTCACACTCACACTCACACTCACACTCACACTCACACTCACACTCACACACACACACACACACAGAGAGAGAGATTACGAAATTCCCTCATGAAATATAGTTCCTTTAGCCAACATCTTGCAAAGTACAGTATCTGTAAAAAAAAATTACAAAATAAAAAAGTATGCCAGAATAAAGATACATGTAGTTAGTCACATGAATGCTTTGCTACCCTGAGGGTCTCAAGCAACAAAAGTCAATATGTGTCTAAATCTTGTTTAGCTTTCCATATCAGTGGCAATATTCAGCATATGGAGGTTTTGATCGATCAATTCCAGAGAAAGAAACTGATATCCCTTACTGTCATTCAAAAAAAATAAATCTCTCTCTCTCTCTCTCTCTCTCTCTCTCTCTCTCTCTCTCTCTCTCTCTCTCCTCTATCTCTCTCTCTCTCTCTCTCTCTCTCTCTCTCTCTCTCTCTCTCTCTCTCTCTCTCTCTCTCTCTCTCTCTCTCTCTCTCTCTCTCTCTCTCTCTCTCTCTCTCTCTCTCTCTCTCAGTGCAACCTAACTTAGACCTGCAACCATGCCATCAGAACTAGAACGTGCCATGGAGTCCATGATCACCGTGTTCCACAAGTATGCTGCTAAGGAGGGCAGTGGCAACACTCTGAGCCGCCGTGAGCTTAGGGACCTGATGGAGAACGAACTCTCTGGCTTCCTCAAGGTGGCCATCTCTACTATGTCTGTGTATCAAATGGCACCCTATTCCCTATATAGTGCATTACTTTTGACCAGGGCCTATAGGGCTCTGGTTAAAAGTTGTGCACTGTTTAGGCAATAGGATGCCATTTGGGATGTATAGTATATTATCTCTATTACTATCTACTATTAGCTGTAGTAGCACTCCCTGTTAATTTGATACAGAAAACATGCACACTTTATGATTAGGGCCAGGAGTTTTTCCTGATCACGTGACTTGACCAGGAAAAACTCAGGGGCTTAGGTAATAGGGCCCAGAGTTTTCCTTGGTCAGGTGGTCCGCAAAAAAAATTGCCCTACTTGTCATGTATCTGCCCAATGAAGAGTAGCGACTTCAACTGTTGTCCCCTATTACTGTTAGTGAAACTACAGTATTTACATTTAGTAGTATTAAAACATCCCTGTCTTCCTTTCAGTCTCAGAAGGACCCAGCCACAGTAGACAAGATCATGAAGGATCTGGACTCTAATGGTGATGGAGAGGTGAACTTTGAGGAGTTTGTTTCTCTCGTTGTGGGTCTGTCCATCGCCTGTGAACAGTGCTACCAGATGCACAAGAAGAAGATGGGGAAGTGAGGAATGAAAAGAGGAGAGGAGGAAGGGGCACGGAGAAAAGAAGGGTTGTAATTTTCACTTTTGTAATGATCACACTGTCCATTAAACACAAAAACCAAGGAGTTGTTGTCATTATTTTGTGTGTGTGTGTGTGTGTGTGTGTGCTTGCGTGCATGCATTAGAGAGAAAGTAGTTATAGATGCAGGTCGTACATGTGTTATAGCTAGTCTATTGGAGTTAAATTAGAATACAAATATTGTAGATGTGTGTTGATATCTTTGTCTACAAAAAAAAGCATAATAGTCTTAGGGGTGGCTTCTTGGACACTGATTAGGCCACAGGAGGCTGGTGGCACCTTAATTGGGGCGAACGGGCTCGTGGTAATGACGAGCGGAATGAGTGGAATGGTAACAAATATATCAAACACATGGTTTCCAGATGTTATGTTATGAGCCGTTCTCCCATCAGCAGCCTCGTAGAGCAGCCTCCTGGAGTAAAAGCACTTTTAATGGAGAATCTCTGTTGAGCTTGCTTTTTTGTCCAGAACTAGGATTAATGTGTGTCTGGGAAACTGACCAATAAAGACCCCATATACCATGTCATTTCACAGCTTTACCTGTGATTTCAGTCTTGTACAGATTACATTTACATTTCAGTCATTTAGCAGACACTCTTATCCAGAGCGACTTACATACATTTTCATACTTATGATGTAAATCCCACCTGGATTTGACACAGAAGTAAGAGGGAGTTCCCTTGTGTTACTGATAAAGATTCACTTGGAACCACAGAGAGGAATGCTCAGAATGTTCTACATGACAGTACGCAGTACACACCCTCTGTCCTCATGCTCTTTGGCCAGACATCTGTCTATTCTTATTTTTATTGAGGAAATACACGATTAGGTTGAAAATTGTGCAACATTTTGATTTGGAAATACAATACAGTTTATACATTCTGGATTTTGTGTTTGATTTGATTGTACAGTGCATTCGGAAAGTATTCAGACCCCTTGACTTTTTCCACATTTTGTTATGGTACAGCCTTATTCTAACATTTATCAAATAAAAATTGTTCCTCATATGTAGTCCCCTGTAGCTCAGTTGGTAGAGCATGGCGCTTGCAACGCCAGGGTTGTGGGTTCGTTTCCCACGGGGGGCCAGTATGAAAAATGTATGCACTCACTAACTGTTAGTCGCTCTGGATAAGAGCGTCTGCTAAATGACTAAAATGTAAAATCAATCTACATACGATACCCTATAATGACAAAGTAAAAACTGGTTTTTAGACATTTTTGCAAACGTATTAAAAATAAAAAACAGAACATAAGTATTCATACCCTTTGCTATGAGACTCGAAATTGAGCTCAGGTGCATCCTGTTTCAATTGATCATCCTTGAGATGTTTCTACAACTTCATTGGAGTCCACCTGTGGTAAATTCAATTGAATGGACATGATTTGGAAAGGCACACACCTGTGTATATAAGGTCCCACAGTTGACAGTGCATTTCAGAGCAAAAACCAGCCATGGGGAAGGGTACCAAAACATTTCTGCAGCATTGAATGTCCCCAAGAACACAGTGGCCTCCATCATTCATAAATGGAAGAAGTTTGGAACCACCAAGACTCTTCCTAGAGCTGTCCGCCCGGCCAAACTGAGCAATCGGGGGAGAAGGGCCTTGGTCAGGGAGGTGACCAAGAACCCTATGGTCACTCTGACAGAGTTACTCTGTGGAAATGGGAGAACCTTCCAGAAGGACAACCATCTCTGCAGCACTCCACCAATCAGGCCTTTATGGTAGAGTGGCCAGACGGAAGCCACTCCTCAGTAAAAGGCACATGACAGCCCTCTTGGAGTTTGCCAAAAGGCACCTAAAGGACTCTCAGACCATGAGAAACAAGATTCTCTGGTCTGATGAAACCAAGATTGAACTCTTTGGCCTGAATGCCAAGCGTCTGGAGGAAACCTGGCACCATCCCTACGGTGAAGCATGGTGGTGGCAGCATCATGCTGTGGGGATGTTTTTCAGCGGCAGGGACTGGGAAACTAGTCAGGATCGAGGGAAAGATGAACGGAGCAAAGTACAGAGAGATCCTGGATGAAAACCTGCTCCAGAGCGCTCAGGACCTCAGACTGGGGGCGAAGGTTCACCTTCCAACAGGACAATGACCCTAAGCACACAGCCAAGACAACGCAGGAGTGGCTTCGGGACAAGTCTCTGAATGTCCTTGAGTGGCCCAGCCAGAGCCCGGACTTGAACCTGTTTTTGCTTTGTCATTATGGGGTATTGTGTGTAGATTGATGAGGGGAAAAAACAATTTAATCCATTTTAGAATAAGGCTGTAACGTAACAAAATGTGGAAAAAGTCAAGGGGTCTGAATACTTTCCGAATGCACTGTATGTAACAGAGGCCATCAAAATAACTGTAGGGTGGTTGAATTATAGGACACATAGTGGGCTATATTTTCATATCATTATTTTCCAACAAGGCCTTTCTCATTGTGTGTCATAGTCTGGTGCAAGTTGGGTAACAGAAGCAGGGTCCGGATAAGCTGTTATTTCCTCTCTCTCTCTCTTTCTCTCTCTCTCGCTCTCTCTCTCTCGGTAGGGCCTACCCTCTCTCTCTCTCTTTCTCTCACTCTTGTTCTCTGAGTATACTTAGGTAGGGCCTACTTTGCTGCCAACCAATGTTATTGGTTACAAGGCAAACAGGGGCGTTGCTAGGTAACCGTGGGTGGAGGGGGAGGTTGCACAAACAGTATAAACAGTGTGTCCACATGAGTTACACGCCCATGTGACACACATAAGGGTTTTAGAATGGGGACTTCTCTCGGTATCATCTCATAACATCATTTCTACTCACTTTGTGCTATGTGCATTTTACAGAATACTGTAAAACTCTATAGTGGACTGTGTTAAATGAGACAACAACAAAAAACAGTAATTTAAGTGAGACAACACTAGATACGTTCCCACCTCCCTGGGCGCAAAACTGGTTAAAAATACATAATTTCAACCAGTTTTGCAATGTAAACAAAATATTTTCAACCAGTTTTGCTCACTGGGTTGGAAGTCATTGATCATTGATTTGAGAGTCTATATGTAAACTCATTCTCAGAAGAAATGTTTTCAGAGAATTTCGATTTCAACTATTTAGATACAATTTCCATTTTGGATAGTTCAATAAAACTAACACATGTAGTTCCATTTACAATGCCTGTCTCAAAGTATGTCTAATGTATTAAAAACAAGTACAAGGTTTGGCTCTGACCAAAGTTCTTATCTTCTGTTTCTGGAATAACTGTGATCAGGCCACAGTTCCATATTTGACCACTAGATGTCAGGAGAGTATGGCAATCCTACTGTTCAACTTGAGCTATGGCACCTCATGGTTATATGGAAGAAAACTGACTGAAAAAGGGAGGGACTACAAGAATGAGTGCAACGAGAAACTAGTTCTCATTTTCCGTTGCAGAAGGATTTGCTAAGATGTGCCTTAATAAATACAACCCAGGTCTACTTATTCTATGTGTTACTGTCAACCCTCACATACACAAACAACCACATCACCCTGCTGCTTACATTAACCTCTACTGTGTGCTCCTCCTTTTATATGTTCTCTCCTTTAAAGATAACAGCGTTTAGATTGAGAGAAGGAGTTGGGTACGATCACCTACTTTGTCTTGCTGACATTGATGGAGAGGTCTCTGCCAGGTCTCTGACCTCCTCCCTGTAGGCTGTCTCATCATCGTCAGTGAACAGGCCTACCAGCAAACTTGATGATGGTGTTGGAGTCATGCGTGGCCACACAGTCGTGGGTGAACAGGGACTACAGAAGGGGACTAAGCACACACCCCTGATGGGCCCCCGTTTTGAGGTTCAGCGTGGCAGATGTGTTGTTACCTACCCTCACCACCTAGAGGTGGCCCGTCAGAAAGTCCAGGATCCAGTTGCAGAGGGAGGTATTCAGTCCCAGGGTCCCGAGTGACTGATGTTTCAATTGTGTAAGATACTGTAGGAAACAACAGAGTCCCACTGACACACACGCATGCACACACACACACACACACACACACACACACACACACAACCCAGGCCTTTATTACCCAGTGCTCACATATAGGAGCAATAGCTAAATAAACAGCAGGCACACATCCACACATATATATATTACCAACGCATCATATGAGAACACAAACATCTTCACAGACAACTAAAATATGTTTGTGTCACCATGAGGGATGTAGCTCAGTGTCAAGGTCGAGGTAAGGAGTAGACCAAGGCGCAGCGTGATGAACAAACATGACTTTAATTAGTTAAAGCGTCAAAATACAAAACAAAACACGACTCGTGACGTCCACGGTATCAATGACCGAACACGGAACAAAAACCCACAACCACAAAGGGAAAACATACAGTTTAAATATGGCTCCCAATCAGAGACAACCAGCCAACAGCTGACACTCGTTGCCTCTGATTGGGAGTCACTCAGGCAAACATAGAATACAACAAACTAGAATGAACACCAACATAGAAATACACACATAGAAATGAACACACCCTGGCTCAACATAATGAGTCCCAGAGCCAGGGTGTGACAGTACCCCCCCCTAAAGGCGCGGACTGCGACCGCGCCTCAACTAAACAAACCAGGGGAGGGCTGGGCGGGCATACATCCTCGGCGGCGGTTCTGGCTCCGGCCTTGACCACCACCCTCCAATACACCCCCCATAGTACCCCTGGTCCAGTCTGGCCCCGCCGGCTGGAGCAGGACTGGACTTAACAGGAGCGATCCTTACCAGGCTGTCGACTCGCACCCCTGGCTTGGTGCGTGGAGGAGGAACGGGCCTTACCAGGCTGACGACGCGCACCCCTGGCTTGATGCGTGGAGGAGGAACGGGCCTTACCAGGCTGACGACTCGCACCCCTGGCTTGGTGCGTGGAGAAGGAACGGGCCTTACCAGGCTGACTTCTCGCACCCCTGGCTTAGTGCGAGTGGCAGGAACAGGCCG